TATAAAAGTCTAATTAGAAATATAGTAACGTGGCACAAGTGAGTTTAGGGCTACTATCTCTTTTCAATTCAGTCGAGGGGATTGTCTCCACCCTTGTTATAGGACTAATCTGTGTGATCACGACTGTATATGCCCTCGGTTCCTCGCAAAATCGAGCTATGCTTGCATAGTTATTCACTTTGGACAAAACGTTAGTTGTTCTAATAACAAGGTGGTTGGACCCTTGATGAGTATACAAAATTTGTGTATGACTTAGAGTGAAACAAACAAGTGGAGTTTACTTTCATATAGAAATATGGCAAGTAGTATCATGCCATGCAATTTGTATGTGTTATTGAAATATTTTTCAAGGACCTTTATGTTTGTTATGATGGCAAAGATGTATTGATTCATACAAGACCCAACCAGAAAACACACAATCAATCTTGCTGCTACTATAATACTATAGTAACAACAGGCTCAAGGAGGCATAGTAGTTATGCATAATGATGCTTGAGACTCAAGTTTTTAATCCCAAAACTGAACAAGTTTGACAGGCAACGATGTATGTCATGAACTTATTTGTAATAGAAGGTTGCGATAACTTATCTATTATTTAAGCCTCCGCCTCGTGCAATTATGTAGGAAGGGGAGTTTCAGCTTATGCTGCTAGAAACAAACGAGTGGTCTTGTACTCAAGTCCTTAGGAAGCTATGCGCCTCTTCGAGGAGATATGACTTTTGAGATATTAGGTCGCCCTTAGCATAAATTCTGCTTAGTTAAAGAGAATTTGTCCAAGTATGTCCTTTGACAGTCCAGGGGCTATTTTGCGCATTTAAAAACATTTAGCATCAGAGTATAAATAATGAAATCACTAGGGACCGTTTTACAATGTATGACAATTTAGAATCCTTGTCGAGCGGTTGCGGCTGCTTGGATTTCTGCATAACTAGAGGTTTCGTAGTCCTCGCTAGCAGATTTGCTCCTCGATCTTGTTTGGTTTAAGGAGGCTGTGTAGTCTCTCAAACCAAAATTGATGGCCAGTAATTTCTTTAGTTAACCATAAACTCAAAAGATTTATCGAAAAAGATCATACTACCCTTAGGCAAGAATTGAACATTGCACATGGATAAATATATGGTAGAATTGTTAAAAAGATTAGAAATCAATCACCAAGTGTGAATGGGCATTATGCATTAGCAATAGATAATTCAATAATATATTTGATTGTGTCATCAAATCTTGTAAGGAAGTTTTCCCTTGAATATGATGCTAAATAAAAGCAAATAAGCAGTTTTGAGTTTGATGGCTTATTTGTTATCTAAACTTCTTGCTAGTTGCATCATTCAAAAAGAGAAGCTAGAATCCGCACTTCCAAATGGGTTTGTACTGTCATACCTGGCACAATGTCTTAGTTGCAGAAAACATCCGTTGAGGTACTCCACGCGTAAGAAGGTTAGTATCGTAAGTTTAGAATAGGAATACCGAAAATCTTAAATCAAGAATTAAACATGATGTTGTGAGTATAAATAGATTTTAAAGAGTATGTTTAAAATCACATACAACGATGCAGATCATGATGATTCTCTTTTCACCAAAAATCAAGTTCTAGGATTGCCCTAGGGTCATAAGCATTGTCAAAATCCGAGGATCTTCTCTTCCTCAAACAATATATTATTTCTCGGGACATGAGAAATGGCATGGAATCAAAGGAATTCACAAGAGGCAATAAATCAGTGACATTAATTTACCATGACACCACTATCATGTAACTAAATCACACAGGTTGTACATGTCACTAGCAAGAATCTTCAAAATGATGATTTTGAATTTTAATTTTGATAAAAAGAGAAACCATGCATTACATTGCCCCAAGAATATCTTGAATCAGAAAAAGACATGCAAAAATGATTAATGGGCCATTAATCAGATTAATGAATCTTAAAGACAAGTTAACATGGAGGCATTCGAGGAACATGGAGGACATGAAGTGTCCATTTATATTGTTTTAACGGAATAATAAAGGCTATGAAATTAAACCTGAACCGTTCTTAAAGTTATGATAACGTGAAGTTATAAGTCTAAGGAAGCTGGATAGCTCTGGTCCTTGGACAGAGTAACCAAAAGCATTTAATAGTCATGTGAGGCTTGTCTGACTAAAGCCTTGACTTTGTACGTAAGTCACTTAAAACAAATAGCACATAGTTTTTATAATTTTAAGTGAAAGCATAGCATAGTATAGCCACGAATCAAAATCAATGCTAGAGGTATTTAGGTTCTAGAATTAAGGCTAGCCAAAACCATTGTATGACCATGATGGTACACATAGAAGTAACAAAAACCTTGTATATGGATGACTACTATTTAATGCTTAAAAGAAAGCAACAAAAATCCTTGTTTCATGAAGCAAACATTGCATGGCCATGATGGAAGACATAGAAACAAAAGCTTCACGTATAGTAGCTAATCATACATGTGAAAATTATCTAACCCCATGAAGAACAGGATTAAAGCACGTTCTTGGTCAACAAACAAAAAGGCGGATTTCGTTCTTACAGGTTAGCTTACGAGCTTTTATGTCAAAATTATATTCATTCAAAAAACACGAAACCCGGTGGCTATGATTTCGCTTAAACCTGTGTTGGGTTACGATGATGAACCCCTTGATGTTGTCCACCACTGGAAGCAGGCGTTTGATCCGTCCGTCCTTTTGTTGCAAGAAAATTTGTTTAGAAGGGAACCATGATTCGGTTTGCTTCCCTTTGAGCACCATGTTTGGCCAAACTTATGCTTGCTACGATGGGATGTTCTGCAACTTTTGGCTGCGACTCAAATTATCGGTGGACGAGATATAATCACCTTTATCTTTCAAAAAATAGAGGAAAACATCTGGACAAACTTGATTAGTAACCCCAGATAGATGATAACGATCGACTCTATGATCACAAATATTAATACAGTTGGTGTTCAACAAAATAGAATTGTAAGAGATTTTGTTGAAAAATCTCGCAAGGTATTCTCATGTAAACAATCGTGAGCACAATGCATCTGAGTAGGCAAATTAATGCATCGAGTGAGTGCACAATGTCGACCAAGAGCCTTCTATATTAATGCTGTATTATAAAAGGTGCATAAAAACATGTGTGCGTGACTACTTTCCCCCCAAAAAGGTTGAAGTTTAATTTGTATATACCAGGGAGATCAAAAACATAAGTAGCATGTTTAATAATTATTATTATGCAATTAATAACCGAAGTAAGTTCTTGTCCCTTGGTTAGATAGCCCACGCACCATAAATTAATTAAAAGAAAAACCCACCTTAGCAAACCTGTATGACTGCGCAAGACAAGAAACAAGGCAGCACTTATACGTGGATGGTTGTTGTTTAATGCTTAATCATATTGTGGCTGGTTATGCATCCAAAAATTATTTGAGCCATGAAGAACAAAATAAAAACACGTTCTTAGGTATAGAGCTTAAAATAAATTAAAGAACGCGAGACCTGGTGGCCATGATTTGGCTTAAACTGGTATCGTATGATAACGAACCATTTGATGTTCCCCACAATTTGAAGGAGCGTTCAACCCCGTCGGTATCCCCATCGTCAGAAGGTTTGTTGAAGGGAAAAACCCTAAGTCAGGGTCCCACTGGGCGTGCCACTTGACGAAGTATGGATCTGTACCAACGTCTCCGATTGGTTGAACCGGCAGCCATGAAACCCTAAAACCTGCAAGACAGAGCCTCGGGGTCTCCCGAGGGTAGACTCTCCGATGCTTAAGTCAGTAAGAGTAATTGTAAAAGAGGTATGAAATTGGTGTGCAAAGACCGTACCTTTGATATGAGGGTTAATCCTTATTTATAGAGGTAGGTTATGAAACCCTTTCTTGGTAGGAAAGTAATTCTGAACCGCACTTGGGCCGGCCTAGTAGTGGGCCATATAATTAGGACTCGTCACCCAATTTCCATTAACTCAACCTAAATTTCTCATCCATACTACAAATTTTCCAGTTGGTGTCGGACCACGGAGATCCAATTGGCCGGAGATAGAGAGCACCAAATCGTAAATTCCAAAAGGTTCAATAATACATATTGCTTTGTTTCGATTAAATTTCTTATAATTTTTTTTTACTTTTGCATATATGGCTTAATATATACAAGCGAGGAATTGCTTTGACGGAGGCATTTTTTTGATGATTTTTTGACCTTCGTTTGATAGAGGCATTTTTATAAGTTTTTTTTTCCTCCAAAGATCCACTTTGGCCGAGGCCATGCTTTTCTTTCTTCTTTATATTTTTTGATTCAATATAAGAGCAGTTTGTTTGGTGGGATCTGCAGGAGTTGGCAAAAAAAAATTTTAAATTAAGAAATTAGTTTCGTGTGATTTGCCTAATGGACGTCAAAGCACGTGATTACTTTTTCCAAGTGTTTTACAGATTTGGGTTCCTAAATTTAATATTGTTTCTTATTACTTCCTTTGCGTACAAAAAAAAAAAAGAAATAATCGGATCTGAGAGTGTTGACATGACCGATAATAAATTTACATGTCTCGAGTGCATACATTTTTTGTCGAGAGGCATATTTTTCTGATGAATTTGTGATCTTTGTTTGGTAGAGGCATTTTTATATGTTTTTTTTTCTCCAAAGATACTGTTTTGCTCGAGTCCATGCTTTGCTTTCTTTTTTGGTTTTTTTTTATTCAATAAATGAGGAGTTTGATTGGTAGTTAATTTATGGACGAAAAGATGAAAAAACACCTAACCGAAGTAGAAAAGGTCATGGTCAATGTTTTGTCTTATATATGCCACTTTTGGCTAGGAGGTTCTCTTGTTATTTTGATGCATCAATTTGCCTGGATCTAGTATATCTTTAGTTCGAGGTCATACTTAATTTGAAAATAGACCTAGTTCGCTGCATCTTGTATTTAATGTGTTCTGGAGGCATTTCAAATGGACAAATTAGAAAGATTATTATTATTATTATTATTATTATTTTGTTTCAGATCTTATAAATTAGTTATGAATATGACCAAGAGTAAATTTGGCAAGGGTGGCAAATCTATTCACCGAGGTGCACAAGCTACTCATGGAAGAAGGAGAGATTCACCCCAAGACACTCTAGAGATATCACATAAAGAGACGAATGATATTCCATGTTCAAGATCAACAATAGACAAGAATCAATACCAATCACATGAACGAGTGGAAGAAGAAAGTTTTATGTCTCATGATGCAAGAGAAACAAATGATATTGTTCACCGCTCAGGTTCTCGGACAAATAATGAGAACTCTCAACCGCATATTAAGGATGCTAGACCAGAGATTAAGGTGTACAAGGGAAAGTAAGTACTCTAAAATATGTTATTATGTTTAATATAGTTTATTTGTTTGATTTCTTACCTTTTTATCTTTTCCATGATTGTATCAGAGTACGCATTTTCAGTGATGGTGCCAGAAAAACATAAAAAAACTTTACGGAGAAAATTGATGTAGGAGGGTTCACGTGGTCAAAAGTTTCTCAACCCACCAAGGACTTCTATTTTGATGAGTTTAAGGTACTATCGATCATGTTTTATTTCCCTTTTTAAGTTTTTTTTTTGTTTAGTAATAATAATTTTAAATGTGTAGAAATTTTTTAAATGGGAGCCTGAGCTTGACTACCAAGTGAGGGCCGAGTGGGATAAAAAAGCTGCCCGATGCTATGGCGAGTTCACAAGGAAGTTGAGAAAGAAAAATGAGAAACCAGCTTGTCTGTCAGATAATGCTTGGAGACAATTCAAAAATCATTGGAGCACTCATGAATATAAAAAAATGTGCCAACGAAATTCTAGTAACCGAAAGAGTCTAGAACAAGCATCTCACACTGGTGGATCAATTTCATACCTTGAGCATGAGATAAATCTAGTAAGCTTGATACTCTTAATTTTAGGCGATTCTTAACTTTTCTTTTTATAATCTCTATAAATTATAGATTACATTGTAGTGTTATGATTATTTGTAATGATTTGAATCTCATAATACTTCCTTCATAGTAATTCATTGATTATTATTTCAGGAAGTTAGAGATGGTCGACCGCCAACAGCACACGAGTTATTCTTGCACTCGCACACGAAAAAGCATGATCAAAAGACATTTGTTGATGGTAAATCAAAAAAAATTAATGTAGGTTTGGTTTAAATTTACACACATTGTTTTTGTTGTTTTGGGGATTTATCCTTATTGCTTAATTAATAGAGATATAATTTTTTTTTTGGTATAATACTCCAGGACAATGTGGTACAATTGACTAAAAGACTCAAGGCAAACCATGAATCTGTGGAAGGTGATCAGTCTCATAAATCAATAGACAACGATGACATTTTTTTGGAGGCTGCAGGTGGTAAGAAAAAAGGAAGAGTCTATGGTCTTGGGTGCGAATCATGTACATATTTTCTGTCACCAATTGAAAAGATAGCTGCAATACAGACTTTGGAAACAGAGTCACGATACAAGAAAACCATACTTGGCTTATGTGGACATCTTGGCTTCTCAACTGAGAGCGTGCAAATTAAAGGTAAGCAAAGTGTTGAATTGGAGAATTATACTTCAGATAGTAGTGATGATGATGATGAAAGCCGATCACAAGAAGGTTCTATGGATTATGGCGATGAGGAAGATAGCGAGTCAGATAGCAGTTCGATGGATTCGGGAAATGAAGATTTCTAATGGATAGTCAATGCATGGTGACGGGCTCTCTGATTAGTTGATGATAATGATTTTAGAATATTGATGAAAAAAAATATTTTGTTTGACTATAATTCGTCTTTCAAATTTTTGAATTCTCATGTTTTGGCAATTAATTTTGTATTACATCAACGTATTGTGGAGTGTAGTACGTTTCATTAAATTTATTTTAATATTTTTAATGATTTGTACAATTATATAATATTTAATTTTAAATTCTTGAAAAATTACAAAAAAACAGAAATATTATTTTAACCACGAATGTTATTTGATTTCCCACAGAATCTTCCGTGGTTAAATTTAAAACTGAAACTAGTTAGTATTCACAATCATCCACGGGCTTTCCACGGACAACTCGTGGTTGAAATCATCCACAGATTAGCTACGAAAAATACGTATTAAAATTAACTACAGAATATTCACGGTCTGTTCGTAGATAAAAATTATGCACAAATTTGCTACCAAAAGTTTGTGAAAAAGATTAACCACAAATTACTTACGGTCAATTTGTAGATAAAAATATCCACAATTTTGCTACAAAAAATTTGCAGAAAATATTAACCACAAATTACTCACGGTAAGTTCATAGATAAAATTATCAACGACTTTATTATGACAGGTTTGTGGATAAATTTACTACAGAATATTCACGGAATAGTCGTGGAAATTAATTACGGATTATCTACCACAGTTTCGTGGATAAGTCATCGTATTTTTACCTAAAACCCACCAATATTTACACACATTATATCCACGAATATGTCTGTGGATAAATCATCCACGGAAGCCTTCCTTCTATGGAAAAATGATTAGCAACGGAGCATATAACCACGTCTCAGGGTTTGTGGATAAATCCGTGGAAAATTTCGTTACCTACGGACTGCAAGGAAAAATTTACACACAAACGTATTCATGGGCAAATGATGTTTTTCTTGTAGTGTTCAAAGCCAGATTAGTTGCAAAAGGTTTTACCAAAAAACATGGCATTGACTATTTTGATACATATTCTCTAGTATCAGGAATAGATACAATGACAATGTTACTTGCCTTGGCTTCAATCCAAAAATGGGTAATTCACCGAATGGATGTTAAAACAACATTTCTAAATGGTGATTTGGATGAAGAGGTATACATGAAACAATCTGAAGGTTTTGTGGTCAAAGGGCAAGAAAACAAAGTATGTCGGCTTGTAAAGTCACTATATGGCTTAAAATAAGCTCCCAAGCAATGGCACCAAAAATTTGACCAAGTAATACTTACTTGTGGATTCAAAATACATGAGTCTGATAAGTGCATATACAGTAAGTATTCAAATGGTAAAGGTGCTATATTATGTTTGTATGTGGATGACATGTTAATCTTTGGAACTAACTTATAACAAGTTGAGGAAACCAAAAGTCTGTTGTCTAGAAAATTTGAGATGAAAGGCATGGGTGAAGCCGATGTCATATTCGGAATAAGAATTAAGAGGGAGCAAGATACAATCATGCTCACTCAATCTTACTATGTTGAGAAAATTCTTAAAAGATTTAATCATTTGGATTGTTAACCTATTTCGACTCCTATTGATTCTAGCATACATTATGTTAAGAATAAAGGGAAGTCTATATCTCAAAATGACTCTGCATAAGTAATTGGATGCTTGATGTATGCAATGACATGTACTCGCCCAGATATTGCTTATGCAGTGGGTATAATGAGTCGATATACAAGTAATCCAAGTAGTGAACACTGGGAAGGTGTAAAAAAATTTCTTAGGTACCTAAAAGGCACCAAAGACTATGGAATTTGTTACAAGGGCAATCCTCCTGTCTTAGAAGGATATTCAGATGCTAGCTGGATAACAAAAAAAGATGATCACTCATCTATGAGTGGTTGGGTATTTTTGTTTGGTGGTGGAGCAGTTTCTTGGGGATCTAAGAAACAAACATATATAACAGACCCCACCGTGGCTTTTGAGTTTGTGGCATTAGCATTAGCTAGCAAAGAAGCTGAATGGCTAAGGAACATACTATATGAAGTCCCAAAGTGGCCAAAACTAATTTCACTAGTGTCAATTCATTGTGATAGTTTATCAACACTGGAGAAAGCATATATATAATCAAGTTTATAATGGAAAATCCAGGTATCTTGGATTAAGACATAGCTTGGTAAGGGACATGATATCTAGTGGAGTAATCACTATAGATTATGTCAGATCAAAAGAAAATTTGGCAGACCCTTTGACGAAAGGACTGACAAATGAGATGTTGTTATTAACATCATCTTGGATGGGTCTTAAGTCCAGAATATGGTTACTTGTATTGGAATCTCAATTCAATGCTAGAAAATACTCTAGTCTTGAATTCAATGAGCGATAGTACAATGTACAAGTAATTTTTTTTGATTGAGCACTAAAATATTCATCCCAAAGTAGTTAGTGCTATATTTTCTCGTTGTGTATCAGGTTGAGAATTAGCTCTTAACAAACTCTTGTAAATGCTAAAATGGGGAGGGCATTAAGAAGTTTACCTAATGAATGTCGGATTGGGCATCCAAAAAACTTGGGACTTGGCTTTGTTAACATTAATGAAGAGATATGGTTACAAGACCTTATGTACCACACGCACTGGCAAAGTGCAGGCAAGTTGAGGAGAAAGAAACTTATGTGTGTTCACAATAGTGGCTTGTGACATGTACGCACGGTTCAAAGCTAGTCTACCGGGTTGTACTACAAGTTATGAAAACGACACTAAGATAGTGGTTCAAGTCTAACGAAACCATTATTTTATGTATAGGTTTTATTGTAATTATTCGGGATCCATTTTAAAAGCATTTTCAATATATTGAAAATGATGGGGGATTGATGGAATATTTTCAATATATTGGAATATTATTTTCAATATATTATGAAAGGTTATAAACTTTCATGATAGAAATGAGGAGACACATACCAAATGTTTAAAGGTTGTGTCTAAGGATTCCAAATGAAAAGACACAAATTGGAAGTGGTGGCTAATCATCCCAAAATCTAGAGAGACATCAACAAGAGCTGTGTTAAATCTTAAGAGTCACTAGAACTCTATAAATATGGATAATTTGAGAGGTTTTTGCTGCAGAGAAAATTTCTCAAATACATAGAATACTTATCCTAGCTTTGGTAACCAGACACTAAGTGCATACTCTTTTCGTTTGATCTCCATTTTATTTTGTAAGAAATTTGCCTAGACTATTGCAGAAAATAATGAGCGAATTTAGCCTAAAGAAATACAAGTTTTACTTTTGACTTGGAGACAAATCTTTTTCATTTAGCAAGTGTTGTTTTTCTTCCAAGTAGATTGTGAGTTAATGCAGGCATTGTTGTTCATTCTTTTGTAATAGAATTCCAACACAGTTCATATCCATAACGTGACCAGGAAATCTTCCTTTCATATAATATTAAGTTTGCTTTCCTCGTTTTTTTGGACCAGAGTACCTAGGATGCTCATTAGTATAATTATAAGAAACCCAAATAAACAATATTCTTTATGTTAATCTAGCTAAGAAGAAGGGTGATAAAGTTAAACAGTTACTTTTCCCTTCCTTTTACTACTTGTATAAAAAGTGAAGTACTAAATGCTCTTAAAATTGGAGAATAGTACTCTCTCTGGAATTATTATCTAGTTTGAATTTCATTTTGGATACAAATGAACTTAAAGTGAAAATCTAAGTTATACAAGAATTTTGGGATGAAGGAAATATATTTTTGGAGGAGAAAATTAATAAAAATGTAGACCTCAATAAGGGACTAAAATTGATTTGATCTCATTGAATGAAAAACCTTCTTACTGACAAATTAGAAGCACAGTTTATGCTACTGCGCGCAGCTATAATGTTAGCGGGAATATTAATCCCTCCGGTCCTTATATCAATATATTTTGATTTGTCATAAGTTTAACCTAGTATATATTTTTAAGATTATTGTGTCAATTAAAAATACATACTTGGCGAAACCTAGGATAAAATCAAAATGTTTCATATTAAGGATTAGAGGGAGTATTGTTTTACACACATAGACCGATAGTCATTTGATTCTCTCGAAGCTTGGAGTAAAATGTTACCGGCCGGAATTATTTTATACATTCATAGAGCTCCCACAATTTGGTCAACAAGTGTTTGGGTAGTGTCAATTGGGAAATATTGTTAACTACATTTGTTTTGTAAATTATAATATTAAGGAAAATCTTTCCTATCAACATAAGAGGTGATGAATCATCATTTACTCTGCTTACCCTACACTTATTCAGTTTTAGCTGTATTACATAGTTGTTTGGCTTTCATGGCTGTAAAATCATAATCAAGCATGTTAACTTTTACAGAAAAAGTAAAAGTCAAAATCAAGCAAACCGTGACTTGGATTTCACCTATGATGATCAGCTCTATTGAGATTAAAAACCATACAAATACTACGTACATGCTCCACGTGCTCATCAGACCAAGAAACTCACGCATTTGTATCAGTTGGACTGAATGTATTCAAGGTTGTTAATCTTATAGATCAATGGGAAAGGGCTTAATCTTGAGATTATAATACTATAATTAATGGCCGAGCTTGAAAGAGCAACTTGCTACTTAATCTTTGAGCCCTAAAAATTAACGGTATTATAATTTGTAAATGTTGATTTATAACGGTATCTATCATACTTAAGCTCTTTCTATTCCCCCAATTTTTTGTCATGAACAATTCTCAGGAAGGTGATGACGTCGACATTGATAGTTGATGAGGAAGGATAACGTGCAGCTGATGTGAAGGGTAGGCTTGACAATGATGTTGGTGTGAAAGTGAAGGTTTGTGCTTTCTTTCAATCTTCTCAACAGAGTCTCATTTAAGCAATAGTTTTATATACGGCAAGTAGGATCCGTTAATAGGGGAAACTCGGTTTGATGTAGACCTCAAGAAAGTCTTATAAGTGTAGACTGAATGCTCTTTGGTCTGAAAATCTTCTAACTGTCAAATCAGGAGG